AGACCTACAGGTGAGCCTGGCGCCCCGTAGCTCTCACAAAGAGGAATCCATTCCAGTATTGAGTGAACTAAGAGACTACGAAATCTCGAAGAGTGCCTGCAGAGGCAAGCCAAACAATACTAACTGATTAAGCTTAGTTAAAGAGACTGCTTTGCTAGTTGCTAGCTAATTACTATATTATTATTATCCTTTCTACTTTAGAAATTTAAGATACTATAATAGGATGAGGATTGTTTTCCTTCTTTTAGTAGTCAGAATAGCCTTAGTATATAACTTTCCCCACCCTTATCGGGAAGCCCTGCAGAAGATTGTGTCCCTCACCAATACAAGTGACTGTTGGATATGTGAACAGCTTATAATAGGCTCTGAAGGCCTTTTACCATTACAGTTTATCCCAACTCCTGCCTCCCTGTGGACCAGACCCCTAAAATTCAGATTTACTGGTAGTCAGTACTCTACAGGAAAGCGGGAGTGGGTAAATGCCCAGAATAATAACACTGTGCCAGAAGTACATAGTCATGGGGGGGAACAGGCAGATTTGGCATAAAAACCTGATTGCCTCAGGGATTCCCCTTACTCAAGCATTACATCCATCAGGAACTATGTTTCCATTGTGTTTTGAAAGCAAAATTGGCACTGGTAAAGATCTGGTTTGGATCCCAGAAAATACTTGCTATCGTAAAGTAAGGTTAAATCCAGGGAATGGACAATGGGTCATTTACCCAGCAGATAAAAAAATCCTCCCTCTAAGGTGCAAATTACCCATCACCTTCCACATGACCACTACACATACCTATCCTCTTAACAACATTACTATCAAACCCATACGTTTTAACTCCCCTTGGTGGGCAAATGAAACTCAAAAGTGGTATAATCACTCCTTGTTCATAATTGTGGACAATGGAGCCGTATCTGCCAACTCCAGGAAGGCACCAGAATGCTCAAGTGAGTCCCTAATCTATAGCACAGCCCTGGAACGGATTCATCTTGTCACCTTTTGTGCATATAACTTGATGCAGAGCCACAATGCCTCAGGATGGCCTCAGTTCCATAGGCGCTGTGATCCTCTCTATATAAAACAAGGCATAAGGATTGAAGGCACATGGTATAGGGATAACATTTTAACTCTGATCCTCAGTGAGCCTGGTATGTTTTTCACATGTGGAAACTTTGCTTATAAGGCCTTACCACCTGGGTGGAAGGGCAGATGCACTATAGGCTACGTAGCCCCGGTAGCAGAATTGGTTAAAGATCTCCAGGCAGATACCATTACAAACCTAGGCAGTTTTGTACACAGAGCAAAGCGTGATACACCCAATGATATAAACCCATTAGTAGAACGGCCCACTCTTTTCCATTCCATTGTACGTGCTATACTTCCAGCCTTGGGTGTTAATGAATTGGAACGTGCCATTCGCAACATCTCTAGGGTATTGGAACAGAGCTTTAATGCTACCTCAGAAGCTATCCAATCCCTAGAAAGGGAAATAGATTCTGTAGCAAAACTAGCCATTCAAAATCGACAAGCACTAGACTTACTCCTGGCTCAGCAAGGAGGAGTGTGTGCCATTGTTAACACCTCCTGCTGTTTCTATGTTAATAAATCAGGCATTATAGAACAAGATCTTTTGAAAATAAAGTCAGCAATCAAGGTGTTAAAAAGGACCGGTGAAATCCAAGAATGGGATCCCTTGAACTGGCTCCCAGATATTGGAGGGTGGTTTGGAGGAACCTTAAAAGCCTTGCTGAAATATCTGATAATCATTATTGTCATATTTGTGATAATATATGGGGGTATGTCTACACTCCCCCGCTAGTTCGAACTAGCGGGGTAATGTATGCATACCGAACTTGCTAATGAAGCCCGGGATTTGAATTTCCC